ATGGTCCCACTGTTTTTGCACGCATGGTGTGCAGGGACATCGTAGTCTCTGCCTAGGACACCCTCCCCTCTTCCTGCAGGCTGGAGGTCCCTCCACCACAGGGATGCACAGAGGGCTGGAGCTGGGCTGCTCAAGCACAGGGATAGCTGGAGGCAACATTGCACAAAGCCCTGCTGGAAAGACTGCACAGTATCTGACACAGACCCCAGGGCCACAGGGGGGTTCCCTGTAGCTGAGACTCCACGATGCCTGGTTACGTCCCCCTCCCTGTGTCTGCCTCCATCCTGCACCTCCAAGCTCTGGGAAAAGTCTGGTGGCTGCAGGAGCCCAAGCTGATGAGAAATGGGTTTATGTGGGTGCATGCAAGAAATTGTGCCTGGGCAGAGTGGCTGCTGGTGTTGGAGAGCCCTAAAAAGCCTTGCCTCCACCCCCCACCCTGGCAGATCCTCTGTATCCCAAAAGTTAGGTCTGCCTTGTGAACCCCCTGCAAACAGGGATGCTCATCCCTTTCTCATTGCCAGAAGCTCCCTGCTTTCTCCCTGGGCTGGGGGGACAGGCAACAGAGCAAGGCACTTGGGGGGGAAGGAGTGAACTGGGGGCTCTGAGGGAAGGGAGGCAGAAGGAGAGATGGGGCACGAACCCCAGGCTAGTTTCCATGGGGCCCTGCTGCTCAGGCATGCATTGCATTGTTCAGACAGAGCAATGGCCAAGTACCTCTGCCGTTAGTTTGTTCCCTCCTGGGTCCTCTCCAATCCCACCTTCCCTGGAGGGACTGGAGTGAAGGTCTGCTCAGCTGGCTGCTTTCTTTGGGGTGCAAATCACAGAGAATTGCCAAAGACTGATGCCTGCAAAGGGAACGCATGCCCTGACCCTCCTCAGCAGCTCAGATCATGTTTGGGGCTGGCCTCCAGTCAGAGGATGCTGCTGCGGTGTCTTGAAAATACGCAGAGAGCCAGGGACTTTCCAGGTGCCTGCTGTTGCAGCTGGGGCTGGGGCTGGGCAAGGAAGGCAGCTGGGCTCTGCACTGGGGCTGCAGAGCTCTCCTGGGCTCCTTTGGGAGCAGAGGGAGCCCTGGGCTGGACTGGTCCATGCTGGGGGCAACCTGTGACATGTCTCCCCTCCTTCCACAGCACTTTTCCTGATACCACATAGGTTCTGGGAGAGTGTTGACCAGGGTGGATGGCTACAGGATCAGTGATCCCCCTGGCTTCCCCAGCACATGGACAGTGTCCCAGACGTGCCAAGGGCAAGGGTTCATCCAGGTGCTCAGCTGGGCACTGCTGCCTGGAGAGGTTGCACAAGGTAAGGGCTGGAAAGGCGATATGAGCCAGCATGGCTCTCCTTTTCCTGCCCTGTCCTGATGCCACGGGTACTTTGGGGTTGGAGGAATGAGTGACAGTGCATAGGATGCCTCCAGGGACCAGTTCCCTGTGCTGCCAGACACCCTGGGGAGATGCACCCACAGGCAACCCGCTTCTGCCCATGGCCCGTGCCTGCTACATGCCCCAGGGGCTGCTGCCCTAGACCATACTGACCTCGGTGCTGCATGAGTGCATGGGGAGCTGCCTCCCCCCATCCGGGCACTGGGCCCACGGGTACCTCCCAGCATGGGAGCTCCCTTTCTCTTCTGCATGGGTGATGGAGGAAGCCCCAGGAGTGCAGCTCTGGATCCCACGCTGCCCCAGGCACCTGGTTTGTCCCGGAGGAAGCCAGCAAGCTGCTGCAGCTTGCTGGACTCCTTGCCCAAGAGAGGGCTGCAGGGCAGTTGCTAGTGAGCCCCTCCGCCATGAGTCCAGCATTGCCCCCTCCCTGCTGAGTGGGGTGAGAGCCTGGGCATCTTATTGCTGCTCTGCTTTCTACAGCAGCTGGGACTTTGGTCTCCCCCGGGTTATTCATTGCCCTTGATAACTGTTTATGAGGGTCGTTATCAGGAACTGGTGAAAAGTCCTGGGGCTGCACCCCAGGGTGCAGGCAGCAGGGTCGGAGAAGGGTCTTGGCCCCTACCAGGACCGGGGAGACCCTGTTGGGGCTCTGCATCCTGTCAGGGCTCTCAGGACATGGCTAACATAGGCAGCGAGAGCAGGGCTGGCCGAGGGGCTGGGGGGCCTAGTAGGGCAGGA